TTCATCGTTTTTTTTTATTAGATTCATTCGCTGGGGCCTGGCATCTATACAATGTAGGTAGACAATTCGTTCTTGTCAAAAATCTAAGCCTTTCTGATACCAATGCTTACGCTTAACAACCACGAATGGAACAAGTTTAAACTACTCTTTGCTGAAATATTTGATAATTGTATATTTGACGTTTCGTTACCATAAATTTTAATAAAGATATAAACAAGATGTAAACGTAGGTAGGTTTTTTTTAAAATCTAGCATAGTATGCGTCGTTGGGTTGCTTCCCCTGAATTGGTAGTTTTAAGAAAATTTTGCAGTTTTTGGTTATTATCTTCAATATTTTTATAGATGGAGATAAACTGTAAACAGCAATTTGGTTATTATCTTCAATATTATTATAGATGGAGATAAACTGTAAACGGCAATAATGTACAACAAAGTAAGATCTTCAAAAAGTCTAACATGACCAAAATGGTCAATTGACCCCTTAAGGAGTTATTGCCCTTTATAGTAAAATTTTAACATTTTTTTGTAAATTTTTGTAATCTTATACAAAAATCTTCTCCTCTGAAACTACTAAAACAAATTTAACCAAACTTAGCCACAATCATTATTGGGGTATCTAGTTTGAAAAATGTGTCCGATGACCCCGACTACCAACCAACATGGCCGACATGGCTAGAAATGGAACATAGGGGTAAAATACAGATTTTGGCTTATATCTCTGAAACTAAAGCAATAAGAGCAAATCTAACGAGGAGTAAACAAGTTCATCAGGTTAAGATCTATCTGCCCTGAAATTATCAGACAAATCAGACAACCCGTAGTTGGGTTGCTGTCCCTGATTTGGTAATTTTAAGGAAATTTTGTAGTTTTTGGTTATTATCTTGAATCTTATTATAGATAGAGATAAACTGTAAACAGCAATAATATTAATGTTCAGCAAAGTAAGATCTACAATCAATTCAACATGACCAACATAATTAATTGACCCCTTAAGGAGTGATTGCCCTTTATAGTCAATATTTACCATTTTTTGTTAATTTTTGTAATCTTTTACAAAAATCTTCTCCTCTGAAACTACTGAGACAAATTTAACCAAACTTGACCACAATCATCATTAGGGTATATAGTTTAAAAGACCATGCCTACCAACCAACATGGCCGACATTGCTAAAAATAGAACATAAGGGTAAAATGCAAGTTTTGTCTAATATTTTTTGAACCGTTATAAATAGAGAAAATCTGAAAGGAGCAAAAATGTTCAGAAAAATGAGCTCTACCAATTGTCCATATACGTCAAAACTGTTAGACAAATTCTTAAATGTGTTATTGCCCATAAATGAAAAAAAATACCATTTTTTTTCATTTTTGCCTATTATCATGATAACTATGATATTTAGAGAGAAACATTTTTTTTCCGTTATGCCTTATATGATTTAAATTATATATATAAAAGACAAAAAAAACCACTTTAAATCACAAAAATGATCAGCAAGGCAAGGTCTATTAAAAAGTCAAATTTTGCCGATATAGTTAGTAGACTGTCACTCTTCATAGGAGTGATTGACCTTAAATGAGGATTTTTTTACCCTTTTTTGAACAAAACCTAAAGAAGATAGAGAGAGAAACTAAACAGACTAAAAGATCAGTAATACAAGATCAACAAAATAGGGATTTTTGTCATGAAGTCTATTCTCGTCTACAATGATGGAGAGTGTTCTTTGTTTGATATGCACATATACCTAGGTGAGCGACACAGGCTCTTCAGAGCCTCTAGTTTATTTAAGTCTTTCTTTTTTTGCGTAACCCACATTTTCGATTTTGATGAAATTCAAATCAAAGCTTCATTTTGAAACAAATTTATGTGGTTTGTTTTATAAAGTTTGTAGCTCATCTTCTGTATTCCTACATTTGTATGAGGACAATGTCATTATCGAAAAGAGGCCGGTTAATTAATCCAGAAGCGATGTTAATACTCATATTTGCCTCCTGCTGATAAGTTCTACTCACGTCTCAAATACGTAATACAATAATTATAGAGCGCCTGAGCAGGGTGGTATAGGTGAAGGGAATGAAGTTTCAAACAAATATTTCATTTGGTAAAACAAACGAAATGGTTGATTTCTGCATGACATAATGAGCTTCCGAACTATATTTAGAACGTCTTTTCGCAATGTTTGTAAATCAGGCGAAAAATGCCTTGTTTAGGCAGAAGAACTGATTTAGAAAAAAAAGTGTGTAACTATTTGCCTGCGGACGCGAAGAAAACACCAATCAATTTAACAATCATATTTTATTAGACAAAGTTCCCTAAGAATTAAAAACAAAAAAGACAAATGCATGTAAAGAAAAATGTTAAATACAAAATAATCTATGAAACTTTCTACATTATAAGCATACAGTTTGAATTTTAAATTTGCGATGATATTTAGATGGGAAACAGAAATTGCACTGACTCATTTATAAAGGCCTTCCGTTCTACTATACGGGATGTATGAATGCGCAGCCACTTCCCGTGGGAATGGGAATAGTGTTTTTTTTGTATGCATCGTGAAATAAGGAAAATAAGGAAACTAAGGAAAATATCAGCTCCTATCGATATACCCTCAGTTCAAATTTACCGCCTTTAATAGCAGTTAGTCCGCTATGTAAATCCTACCTATCAGATTCATTGTTAAGTTGTTCTCGTTCTGTATTTGTATGGAATATTTGCCACAAGACGTTTTGAAAACATTTAATCAATTAATATATATTTTTTTCGTATGTGTCTTGTCCCAGCAAACTTCTTTCTGAAATATGTCAATTCAAAAAGATTAAACTTACAGTTTATTTGTTAAGATATTAAATAAACTTTAAGGTTTTTGCGTCAACGTCCACATGTGTTCTGTCTCTGTGTATTATGCAATATGATAGGTCTGATTCTTTAGTATTAGAGAATTAATTTATCTTGCTTTTAGAGATGACACATGAAGTTTTTAATAAAAAAGCTTTTGAAAATTTTTTATCCTAATATTATTTCAAAATCATTATATTCTTGTGTATAGCTCTGAAAACCAAGGATGTAAGGAAATATTAGAGACATATCGAAGATTTTTCTAAAACAAAACGTCAGAATCAATCCGTTCAATTATTATCGGTATAATAGTAAATAATATGTGTTACACAACTACCCCAGTTTTTGGACAGGATTGGGTGCCGACTTATGTGTCTGTCCGAAAAGCAACGGGAGATACAAAGGGGACATTAAAAACATTTAAGTCAACACCATGGCAAAACAAAAAGAAGGACGACAAACAAGTCCACGAAACACCACATATAGAACGTAAAAACTCAAGACTGAGCAAAACAACCATCACCAAGTCAAGAACCTGTAATCAAGTGGTTTTTGTGTGGTATGAATGTTTTTCATTTATTGTTGAGAATGAATCAAGCCGTTTGTTTTAACAGTACAGGGTACGGATTTTGCTCATTGAAAAAGAACGCAAAGTGTTATGCAATTGTTTATATTATCTCTATATTGGTATTTAACGCAACTCAATGAGATTCGCGAGTAGACAAATGACGCAACTATAAATGGTCGCCAAAAATGTAAAACATAGATCTTCCTTTATATAAAGTCATCAAGAAAAAAATGGAAATAGCCAACATGTCTGCTTGGAAGTATAAAATATATACAAATAAATTATTTATAATCTAGCGAAAAAAAGATAGTGTACAGTAATTGTCTTAACAGGCAATCATGCCACATCTACTTATGTTCGACTTTTGTTGTTTTGTTCATGCTGCCGAATTTCAATGAACATTTTAAACGTAAAATCCTTTAACCAATAACAAATTCAAAAGCTCAAACACATCAAACTAATGTAAAACAACTGTAATATTCCTGACTTGGTACAGGCATTTCCTTATGTAGAAAATAGTGGATTAAATCTGGTGGCTTAGTATTCTTTGATGAGAATGTCAAACTTTCAGTATTTGTTATGAACCAAATTTGAATTACCACATTTTTCAAAGGAGTAGGGCCAATTTCCCCTGAATTCATGTCACACACGGACCTTTTTCGAAATGTTCTTTATTCTTCACCGAATTGCTGTATAAAAGATTCGTATGAGTTCTTTAAAAGTTTTGATAACATTTTAGTACATTTCAAACATATAACCGAATACACCTTATCACTATTTATTCCAAACCTATCTGAAATTACATAGCTTTATTCACCCAGTTGAAGCTAACTGGGGCCCTTTTTGAACAATGTATTTTGCATACTATTTTTCAAAGAAACATGTTTAAACTACGATAAACACTTGATAAAAATCGTTTTTAAATTTTTAGTTTGTTTTAAAAAAAAAAGGACAATGGTAATAACAAAATTTCGAAATGTTCACTTGCTAAACTTGTTCCTCCCTTAGTTCAGTATTGATGACCTTTGTTTTTTAAAATACATGCCCCAAACAGTACTGTTTTTTTTCCGGAATGGACTAAATAACGGTAAGGTGTATTATAAAAATGTCTATAGACGTCCAAATATCAATTTTGATACAATTAGTTCAAAATGCGTAGTTAATCAAACAATGATTTTGGAAAAACGTTTCTAAAACCACAATTCTACAAGAAGTATCGATATATTAATGTCTTGCAAAAAATCTAGATAAATTTATTTTGGTAAACGATATCCGAACAGGATACGTTTCACAGACTAGAAAAAATGTATAATATTGTCTATAAATAAAATGTTTTTTTTTAAATCTAATTCCAAATATCTTGTTGTTTAGTTTTTCCTAACTTTGATCTTTTTTTTGTTTACGGCTAGGCGATTGGTATTTCAATCACATGATATCGTTTTTTTTTATAGAACATGCCTGTTGTGTATGGAACCTTGATTGCATTTGGAGGCATTATATTAATTCTCTATGCCAAGTAAACACCAAATGCATCAGATTAATTCTCTATGCCAATTGCAAGCAAACAAACATTGAATAATTGCCGATTCATACTATATATTCATATCATCAATCATAAGACACCGATACCGTTTACACAACCATGAGGAACATACATGTTCACATGAAAGTTCTTTTTTTTTCTTAATTTAAAGCACTTTTGATAGAAAATTGAATAACTTGATGTTTTACAATACAGATTGCTCATTATTTGGAAGGAGGAAGTTTCACAATGTCTGTGTAGGAGTGTTTCGTGCCAGTTCAAGTCGTTGTTAGTAAAACTTGTACATGCAAGAGCTTATTTATTTATGAGAACTACATGATAGTGCCCTCAAGTAACTGATGCGTGAAGCTATGTCTTTTTACATTGATCAGACTGATTTAAGTCAGCGCCACTCTGAATCAAAAAGTTTACTATTTCAGTATTTCCGTTTTCGTTTGCTACTAATAGTGGAGTGGTCCCAGAATAATCCGAATCAGAAATGTTGCTTCCGTTTTCTACCAAATATTTTACAATATCTAAATAACCTTGTCTACATGCCTCAAACAAAGGCGACGCATTCCATGTATTACACTGTGTAATGTTAGCTTCATTTTCATTTAATAGTTTAACTATGTCTATAAACCCCTTCCTACATGCTGCAAACAGTGGAGTACACTTTCTACGGTCTGTTGCGTTTAAATCAGCTCCACAGTTAATAAGGATCTTAACAGTTCCGGTACGTCCTTTATCGGATGCAATGAATAATGGCGTCCTACCTTCCTCGTCGAATTGATTTATATTAGCTTTGTTTTGTATTAAAATGGTGACACTGTCTTCATGTCCTTTCGCCGCCGCAATATATAATGGCGACCTAAGTTTAGTCCAGTCTGACTGTGACACATCAGCATGATTACCAAGAAGGAGTTGAACAACTTCAGAATACCCCTTTTTGCAGGCAATAAACAAAGGAGACCTACCCTCATTATCAGGTTTCGAAACGTTTTCATTACAAAAAGGTAAGAGGTGTTCCAAAACGTCTATTCTTCTATGGATTGATGCAGCAAAAATTAACGTTTGTCCTTGATGATTGGATTTCGAAAAATCAGTCATTTTACTTGATAAAATTTTAACGGTCGACAAGGGACTTTCAGAAGCAGCTACTAATAATGGCGAGTTACCCTTAAAGTCGCACTGATTAACATCGGCATTGTTTTGTAGTAGCACTTCAACTATACTATCGTATCCTCCTCTGGAGGCGACCAATAATGGAGACTGCTTGTTTTCATCACACAGCGAATGCTTAGCATTCTTTTCCAGCAAAACATTTACTACTTCCATCTTCCCGAAAAGACACGCAACGAACAAAGGCGTTCTTCCAAATCTATCACTTTTATTGATATTGCAATCAAACTCCAATAACAACTGAACAATGTCTGCGTATCCTTCCCATGCAGACTCAATTAATGGTCTTCGCATTTTGTGAGAAAAGAAATGATGCTGTTTCTTAAAATCTATGTAGTCATCATAACTTTTTTCAGCAAAATTTCCGTTTATTTCACTGTTTACACTGAAATGTTTTAAAAGTTCAATAACTTTTTGTTTTCTGATTCGACAATACGAACAAAATTTCTCTCTGTACGACTTATTCGTCAGTTGATTGTTATGAAATGTACTATACGTTTCACCTTTTTCTAAATCAAACATCAATCTGTCGAAAAATCTTTTTTCGGCATCCTCGTTATCGATGAAAATAATGTTTTTATAGCTATTTGTCATTATCGATTGAAAGCAAAAACGTTCAGCAATAAATGAGCTACGAACGAATTTGATAAAGCTATGAAGAAATGTCTGACCGCATACCACAACAGCAATATGATACACTTTGGCATGAATAAAATGATAATAATTTTCCGTTTTCGTCATATACATTCCGTCGAGGTTCGCTAGTTGGGCTTTAATTTTATTTTTAACTTGGTCTTTATTAGATCCTAAATTAAATTCCAAGCAAATATTCTCGAACGCCTTTCTTTCAATGTCTGATTCATAAACATCGTTTAGTATTTCCTCTTTAAAATTATTATTTAATAATGCACATAATGTAATCGTGCAGAATTGAAGATTGTTCTTTTCTTTCAAAACCATTAAGTCTTGTTTGATAAAACCTTTAAGATTGTTAAATAGCTTAATGATTTGATCAGGTGTTTTTCGTTCAGCTATTTTACATAAAAGAGGGAAATATGCCTCGTCAGATTTCAATTTTTTTACTAGTTTTGTCTCCGCTTCTGGGGTTATATATTTATTGATCATTTTTAGTTTTTCGTTGTCTGTCAAAGGCCATTTTGATAATAGGCAAACGTATTTCATCAGTAATTTGTGCTTTTGAAAAATACTGTCCTTGTAAATACTTAACCTAGTAGCAAACAAAAATTTAACTTCAGCAATATGTTTGGTGTCACTTTTATCCGAAGTTTCTATCAACTTAAGAATTTCATTGATTCGTGAAAACCATAGATCGACAGATTGTGCGTTAATATTCACCTTCCCGCACAAATCATCTACAATGAATATCTGTTTTCGATTTTTGTTCCGAAATTCAAAAATAATTTCTGGACTCAGAACTATTGGAATGATTTCATATTGCTCTTGGTCTCTCAATTTCAAGGAGATATGTCGAATTATGGAAGATTTACCATTACCGGCATGACCAACTACAAACACACAACTATCTCTTTTAAGGCTTTCCAATATTTTTTGTGTTGCCGTTGTCACAATAAACTTGTCATCGTCTTTTACCCAGTCATCAATGTGCTGATTATGTATATCTGAATGACAGAAGAGAAATATAACCCGATACATTTTTACTGACATAAAGGGAATTATAAAGAAAGGCAGACAGACAGGAGTTCATAACTTGACCTAACATTGTTATGTTTAGGTGTAATACCACCAAATCATAATACGTCACATCCGGCTTCATACGAAAAAGGCTCGACAAAAATTTTTCCCTTGAATTTGAAAGTTTAAGGAAATCCTACATTTTATTGCAGTAGGCAGAGCAAGAGTTTTGGGTGTCTTTTTCTGATCCTTTCTCCCTATTTCCTATCATATGCTTTAAACGAAAACCTTTTCCTATGTGATACTTTAAGAAATATACAGTTATAAGTAAATGAAATTATTTTTGAAGCAGTAACACTAAATTATTCACTTAAAGAGAAGCATCTTATGTCTCTTTCTGAAGCGCGGCGTAAACTTAAGTTTTGCGTATTACGTAAGTAATAACTAATTGAAACTCCATTAAGTCAGTAAACTTTTAATTGGATAGATCATTCAGCTTGAACACTTCAAGTAATTACTCATTTATCGTCACATTTAATGCATAAATATGTGATTGCTACCCTAAATTTTGATTTATTGGCCTAAAAAATTGAAATTTTGAGGAAATGAGAGGTATAATTGGACCAAAAGGGACCAAACAATGAAGACAAAGAGGCCCATTAGCTGGTATTTATCATCTTAGAGTCATTTTTTGTATCATATTCAACTGTTTGTATGCAGATGAGATGAATAAATTGGTCCACACTATATTCTATCATGATGCGGAATGATTTGGATTTTTTGAAGAAGCTTTGCTCAATTTGCTGTAGATGTCGTCTTACATTATACAAGATTTTCCAACTTTTGACCTGATTTTGACAAAACTTGACAGTAATACTTAAAATAATACTATTTCAACATGTTCAAAGGAAAAAAAATCACAATCAGATTTTACAACAATGTCTTCTTTAGGTGTAACCACCATACCATAGCACGTCACATCCGGTTTTATACGAAAAAGGGTCGAAAAAAAATCCCCTTGCATTTGACAGTCGTAGGAAATTAATCGTACATTTAATAGCAGCAAAACATTTCTGATTCGTAAACATATATCTTGAGTGTTTCACAGCACCATTCATTTTTATTTGGTGTTTCTATAAAATATTTTGGAATGGAAATTTAATAGGTGAACCTCCAGTGATGGTTTTGATCTTATATGCAACGACATGTTTTGTGAAATTTTGTCTGCAGTACTGGACAGGATAAAACTTTACTCATGCCAAGAATTTCTTTATTTGAAACAAAGATAATTTCTGCACAATTCCTGGAAAAGTGCCAATTTAACAAAGACTAATAAGGGAAAGCAATGGTGGTATTACTCCTATATTTCTGGTGTACTTTGTATTTCCGCAAAATGTCATAATAATGTTAATTATGAATTGACACCAATTCTTAAAATAGCAAGATTTTTATTCGAAATATTATGATATGAAATTGTCATCGACATATTCAATGTATGCAATCATACAATAAGGTGCAATCGTTTAAACGTTGGTTATTTTATTATATATCATGCTCAACTAGAATTATGTCCATAGATAGGACCAACTTTGTGAAACTATGTAAAATTAATTGTCATCAAATATATGTATCGGTTAGTCTATGAAAAGGTATGTACTATGAAACTTAGAGCTAGGGGCTTGCCCCGAGCACTTAATTTCATAGTATTTACATTTTCGTAGACTATCAAATTTAGCACACTCAAGTAATCTTTTAAAATTGGTCTATTGATAGTTGATTTTGGCTGACTACTTGTATCACATGTGTTTTTAAAACGGGGTTCATTAACATTAACTGAGTTTAATGTTTTGTAAATTTACTCACTAGTATCATAGCAATCATATTTGTTCAATTTGGGACAGTAATTTACCAGATCACGAGTTCATAAATGTAGCAAACACGAATTGGGAACAATAACGGTTTATAAGTCAATCTCACATAAAATATTCGATGTTTAAAGGCCATTGACTCCAGAATGAGAAGATGGTAGCTGCTGGTGTATCTTTGTATATCGATATATAGCGGTGTCTGTGAACATGTACTTTTTACATGGAAAGCTGACAAAGGAAATTGACCAAAAACAGGTATAATTAAATAATTAAATGGCTGTGGGAGCTTTACATGTTTTGAACCCCCCCCCCCCCCCCCAAAAAAAAGAAAAAAATCACAATAAAACTAAAGTATAATAAATTTGAAAAAATATAGATATATGCGCCATAGAAAGTTTAATGGTTATGCATTAAAAGCAACTACCATTAGATCAATTTGAAAGCTTATAGGTTTCTTTTTTTTATTTCAAAGTAAAATCTTTATCAAAATATAGATATAAGTGGCACATTCCCGTCAGACGTTATCACTTTTATTCTTTATTTAAATGATAGAAGCTTGCAATTGTCAAACATATTTTTTCAAATGAAAGATTTCAATTGCAGGCTATATAAAAGGCAATGTGAAAACTAATTACAAATATTTTTTTTTTGGTTTTTTTATCACTTTGGGACAAAGCATTTATTTCCAAAATTGACAGTGCCATTTTTGTTTTTAATATCTTGATTACGATAGAATGAAATCCTACCCTTGTGGTAATTCATACAAAGTTACTTAGTAAACGGAAAAAATATGTATTATGAAACTTAGAAGGCAAATTCAAGCATTTTATAGGACAATAAGTTGTACGTATGTGCTAACAGGCTTATATTACTCAATACTTGTGTTTCGTTTACATCATCCCAATGAATGGTAATTCAATAAAAGAAGTTAAATGGCAACTTTACACTAGAGATTCCTTAATCTAGTACCAAATCAAACATGCTTTCGTGGATGTTGCTAGCGTTTTAATCTATTTACAGATATTTCCGCCAGGGTTTCAATATATGACCGAACATGTTGTTTGTTTTCACTCTAATTTATGGGCAAACACATGCTATACTGATTTTTGTTTAGTAAAAACCATTTAAATATTATTTATACACTCCATGTGATAGGCAGTAAAAAGGGGTAAAATTCGGGTATGTTGTCGTGCTGCCTGCATTGACAATATCGGTGATTTTTTTAATTGGCTTGGTATTTAGTTATTCCTTTGAAACAACTATAAGGTGATTTCAAAGAAAAAATGGAATTTACATCCAACCTTGCAGCCCGAAAATTTAACCTAACAGAAACATAAGAAAATTGTCGTCAATCGCATTTAAACGCACAATATAATCAAAATGAACAAAGTGAAGTCTTTAAAGAGAACAAACAGTACCTCTTATTGTTTTCCGCAGTATCTCTTCCTCGTTTTTCTTCACCAAGTATACAGAAACTAAAAGCGAAATTATATTTTTATTGTACCAAATAAAGTGGCTAATATGAATTAATAACAATATGTAAATTGATAGCATACTAGTATAAACTCAGTTAACTGTATAGAAACGTCATACATGTCATATGGTGTTTAGTTTTGAAATTGATTTTTCATATCAAAGACGTTTTTGAGACAATTATGTTGCGGGATTTCATTTTTTGTTGATTTCGATGGTAAAGGTAAACCACGAATAAAAATGCCCAACGATGTTCAAGTCATTTAAAGATTTGTACGAAGACTTTGGCAAAACCACGAATCAAATATCCAAGAAAATATAATTTTCCCTAAATCCACGAAAATTGGCACCAACAAAAATATATTTTTCCCTCAATCCCCGAAAAATTGGTACCCACGAAAATAAATGAATTCACAGTAATTGATTACTGTCAACTTAATGTATATCCATAATATATTGGTATCATACCTCTCTAAAACACATCGTACTGAGTGTATTAAAATATATGTGGTAAATATCTGTTTTCCTATAGGATAGCCATTGATCTGACCTAAATCACAATTATTCCATAGCCATTAAGTTATTATTTCCGTGACTTTTTGGTCAATTAAAATAGACAAAGAAAAACACGAAAAATATATTTCTTTTTATTGCTTGTACTTTTATGACGTGTGTGATAAGCAGTATGTCGGTAATATAAGTGCTTCTTGTTTAAAAAAAACGATAAGATAATGGAAGTTAGTGTTTTTCATTACTTGAACAAACGGCATATACTTCAATTATAATAGACTTTAGTGAAGCTCTATAAAATATGGTTTTATCCTTATGCAAGTCAATATTTCAACCTCGTTTGAATCCGTAATATTGTGAATTTCAGTTACATCCTTGGATGGAGATAACTTACGCATTTGCTAAGCATGTTCAGTAATGAAAAAGAAATGAATGTCAACAT